TGTGTTGATCATTTTACTACACATTGAAATAATACTAGTTTTTACGGAATTTATCGCGTATATTTAACTTTTTAAATACCCGACGTTTCGAACGCTTTACAGCACTCATGGTCACGGGCGGGACTGAGATGTTCAATAAATATACGCGATAAATTCCGTAAAAACTAGTATTATTTCAATGTGTAGTGTTCGCGTAAATATAAGAAATCATTATTTTACTACATATATGATAAAAACTATGTTGCATACGTCTTAACTGTTGTGGTAATTATAACCAGTATTAGTTACAGCATTCCAGTGAAAACTATTTTAATCAGTTTTCTTATTAGTCTTGCATAAGTTATTTTAGTAACAGTTAAGACAACAGTTAAGACGTATGCAAGATAGTTACTAAAAAAAGTACTTCAGATATTGAAAAATGTTTATTGGACAATTTCCATATATCAATAATTTAAGCGAATACGGTTATGCAAAGTATACAAAAAAAAATTGATATTGAGTTGTAACCAAAAATTTGCCAAAGCTCAAAACAAACAAGATCGTTTCGAAAGTCAAAACGCAAATTGGTTGAATGGCGAGTTAAAAATACCATTGAACTAGTGCAGTACCTTAACATTTAAAAATTCCAACTTGAATACATTTGGAGATCGTGGTAGACAAACAAAACCATATGACTAGTGTTCGGAAACTACAAAAATACGTAAAACATGGAATTAGTCCAGTATTATGGAATGGGGCACGTGCAAAACGCTTGTGTAGGTCTACGATCTATGGATGGAAATGATGAAGGTTCAAATGAAGTAAGTATTGTGAGAAATACAGAAAAAAAAGACAAAAAGCCATTCAACGAAATTCCTATACCAAAGAAGAAGCATTAAGGATATATATTAAAACCAATCTATCCAATCTTATCTCAGTATTCTTACCTGAGGCTAAAACTTGTTAAGAAGAACTTATTTTCTGTATTTCCATACCAAACTTGGCTGAAACAAAGAAGGATTGTTTTCCTCTTGCGTCAAGCATAACCGTTACGAACATAAGTGTCAAATTGAACCTACAATATCTCTTAGATTCTTTGACTAGAGAAGAAAGAAAGGACATGACATTCCTACGAAAAAAAACGTGTATACCTAAACTGAGTCTGGCACAAAAATGGCGGCTTGACGTAGTGCTGCGTACTATACTTAATATCGATAATGTGGCGCTTATTTAGAAAAAGATTCTTTCCTGTGATTCGTCTCAAACACCAGTGTGTTCTAAATAGTTTTTTTAAATCAATATGACGGATTTTTGACGCTAAATTGTAAGTCCTTAATTTTTTTACTCAACCTATCGATAGGGGTATTAAAATAAAGGAAATTACTGAAATATATTACAAGTTATACATATGTTTTCAGTTCTATTACGTTTAAGCAATCATTTTTTTTTGTTTTTATAATGTAATTATCTATTATCACTTCGGGGCAGTTTCTGATTGCGGACCGCCTTTAACTCCTCTTGGTCATAATCTCTTGTCTTGTTTTGCTTAGTTTATTGCAGACTAGTACCATTTTTAAATAAAAGAAATATAGCTGGTTACCCCGCTTTTTTTAGTTTAAAGTTTCCTAAATCATGTAATATTGTTCTCCAAACCAAATTTCTTTCACGTTGGTTCAACAGAAACTGGCAATTTTTTTGCCTTACAACGTTAACTCTCCCCCCTTCCACAAACGCGCACATACACACACACACACACACACACACACACACACACACACACACATACACAAATAATTAATCCTGTATCGTAGGGAAGTGGTAGGGGGGAAGAAATATCAAAGAAGTTAGAATGGATGGTTTTCCATTTGCCGGCACGGCCCCTTCACTGCGCCGACGGCGCCGACATCAGTCCGGCTGTCGGGAATGCAAGAATTATAAATTGGACGGTTTTCCCATTATTGTGTTATCACTTACAGGCGCCGGCACAGCGTGGTAATCACCACCGGTGCCTTCTCAAGCACCGGGACAGCAAGAATCGCGCTCGGTGCCGGCCGGTAAAACTGCATGTATTTTATATCTGATTTTATATCTGATTTTATATTATTTATCATACGTAACAGGAATACCACACAGGCCACAAGAGGTTCCGATTTTTTTAAAGTTGCGTCTTATACGTTCGATTAAAAATATTACCACCCAGACCGGAGACGGAAAACAAAAGAGGCAATTGCGGCGATCTATGTTGAGCAGTGTTTCTTTTGTATTTTTAACGATTGGTAACTTTAAGAGTTAAGAGAAGTTTGAATCTTGGCCCTTCGAGCATTTTCTGTGCCCGAAGCGGTTGCCGTGTTGCTCTATGACTACGTCGATTCAGGGTTTAATTCATTCATTCTTTTAATTCAATTCATTCGTCGATCTTGAAAAACTGCAAACTAAGGAGCCCAAAAAGCCCAAACAAAATTAAACCAGATATAATAAATTTTACAAAGTTTTTTTAAGTCCGTTTGTTGAAAAGTTGATTATGCTGTCAAGAATAGAATTAACTTCATCGAACTATGTAGCTATGTAAAAATTAAACGGAGGGATTCTGGGTGAAATTTACAAATGAACAAGTGGTAAAATTAAAAAATTTGTACAACCGACTTCAATACGACCGAATCAATGTATTCGAAGTCAATTAAGTATGTATTATTAAAATAACTATAAAAATATATAAATATAAAACTACTGGTCATGTTTTGATTAAATTTATATGGGACCACAAGAGAAGCACCATCTTTGAAATAAAAAAGAACCATCAAAATCGGTTCACCCAGAGAAAAGATAGAAACTCTTTATTGCATTTTAACAAAGTTATTAAAATAACGGAAAACTTATGACTACAAACAGTGGTCATATCGTTTTAAGAGATTTCTGCCTGACAAACGAACATAAAAGGACATTATAATTTTATATTTTGACGGATAGGTGCAACGTGCAATATGAAATAAACAGAATTTTTTTATTAAAAATAATATTTGTAAAAATATATTTATAATATATACAATATTTAATGATAATAAATATATATATTTATATACATACTTATAATATTTATACATAGATATATACATACATATATATGTACAATAATTTTAATTTAAAGGTGAAAAGTTATGGGGTAACACAAAAAAAAGCATATAGTCGAATTGAATACCTCCTCCTTTTTAAAGTCAGTAAAAATAATGTAAGGCCATTGACATATTGTCCCTGCCATTTTCGAATGCAATCGTTAAAAGACAAATTGCGTAACCTAATGGTAGAACCTGCCAGAATGGTTCTTATAACTTTATTCTACTCATTGCCAAACGGTTGTTTCAATAATTTTTATGAAATGTTTATAATGTTTAATTCTAAAAACGCGTATACTAGATGACCTTTTTACCGTTCTGGAAAAAAAAGGTGTAATATGGGAATGGAGTAGAAGCATAAGGCACTGATATTTTACAAAAAATAAAAACAAAAATTTTGAATTAAATTTTTGATTTGAATTTCGATAGACTTTTATTTATTTATTTATTTAATTCAAAACTTTTTTTATAGAATATCAGTGCTATAAACTTACTATTCTACTACTACTACTCCGTTCAAATTTGTAACATTGTGATTTTTTCCAGATTATAATTTTTCCGATTAAACAAAACAAATAAAAATGAATATGAAATGAGCTATAAGAAACTTTGAATAAAAATTAAAACAATATTTTTGCCTTTGTATTTATCCTTTAAAATAAGTAAATTCTGTTTTTCCACAGGTCTTCCACATTTTCGTAAGAACACACCCAATTGATAGTAACCTTATTAATTTGTTTAATTTTACTTACCTGTGTTTTTTTATTTTACCGCGATACTTCATAAATTTGAAACTAATTTTACATTTTGCTGAATTTTTATCTACTTTCCTAAAATATTTCCACACGTCATTTTGTCCTCCGCCAGGAGAAAAAGAAGCAAATCGAGCAGAGCACCGGTGTCAGCAGTTAAAAAAAACTCATTTTTATAAACTTTTTCGTTTCAACGACGAATGAATCAGTTAATATGGTCGTTAAATAATAACAAATATTGATAAATTTCTTAATTTATCAATATTTTATATTGCCCGCCTGTCCTTGAAAATTTATAGAGTTTATAGCCGCCCTGCCGTCGGTAAGTACCTAGTATCTGTGAAGTAATTTTTTATTTATTGACAAAAAGAAACATTATAAAATGGTGAAATATTATTAAAATTAATAATAATTAATAATTTGTATTTGTAATAATTTATAATATTTATAATAATTAAAATTATAAAAAACATAATTTATAGTTTATTTATTAATAAATAATAATTAATAATGAATAATAATTTCGTTATTTTCTTTTTTTTCTTTGAATGATATTATAATCATTTCAAACTATCGCACAACAACTTAGCGATCGCAGCGCCTCACTTATTTTGTCCATGTTTCTGGGATCCTATTTACTATACAGCGATCGTTCTCCTGTTCTCTAACCTCCATGTACTGACTTTTATCTGACAGTTTATTTAAGAGACAAAAGTATCGAGTACATAAGAAAATATCGATACTTAGTAAAAATAAATAATCTAATAAAAGTATCGAGTACAAAAACACTTGGTATCAAACTAAAAGTATCGATACTACTCAGTTATCGATACTTTTGCGAATCCCTATTCTTGTCTAATCTGGCATCTGGCAAGTTTTTTAGTTTTTTTTTTTTAATGATTTTAAACTTTTTTAATGTATAAAAAAAACAATTTAATATTATTATAAAAGGATATATAGATTTTTAAATTTTTTTTTTTTTTTTATTTTTTTTTTATTTGATTTTATTTTACTGCAAACAATTAACAACATTAACAACTGTTGAATTTTCAAATTTCAAATTTTGTCGTGTTGATGTTTTTGTTTTAGTATTCTTCGCTAGGAGTAAAAGTGTTCTGTGTTTATTATTGTAAAAATACTCAATATTTAATTTATTAAAATGAACTTTGATTTTTCTATACCTTTGCAAAAAGATGAACTGTTAGAAGCTCACGCAGGACAGTATCATGTAGAAGACGTGATACAACCAAGATTTTTGTTGTCTAAGCTTCAAGGTTTGTGTTAATGAGTAAAATATTGTTATCCTTATTGACCTTAAAATTTTAATAGTTACACAATAGCTTAATACCTAATTACACAGGCCGCTCAACTATTGGTATCTCCATGGCGCTGCTCATATGCCTATGGACTGACCTATCTTCGTGATATTCAATTTTATGTTTATAACCATTCGTAATTTTGTTTTTCTTACAGATGCCGCCCGCGCCTATAATTCAGAGGGAGTAGAATATATTTTGGAACACTTTGATACGTATTTCTCTATAATAATTCATGGTACTAAACTTGAATGGAATGAAATAAATAAAGGTAAAGATTTTTATCATAGGAACTTTTCGTATCTTCAAACATGTAATGAATCTTTTAGAAAGATACTTAAATGTCTATAACACCAGTTTAATTTGAAAAGTGTGTGTCTTACATATAAAATTTTTCAGGATTTGAACATATTTTGAGGTCTGTAAAAAGTCTTTGTAATCAACTTGAAGCTATCTTCCAAGAGCAAGATATTGATCCTGATATACGTAGTAAATACCTCAATGTAGTTAAAATGGTTATGTATTTATTTACACAAATAATGAAAACCAAAGATGTCAAATTAGCAGCAGATGTAAGTAGATCCATTAAAATATAATATGACATTAGATCTGTTGAAGTAAAATAAATTATTATATAAAAAAATAAATTTCCATTATTCTTAGATTACAGTTACTAATTTTTAACTTGTTTTAGAATTCTACAAACCTGACATTAGGTAAAAAAGGGAAGAAAAATGCTGATGAAGAATTTTGTGGGTGGACTGAAATGGATAAACAAGGAGCTTTGCTTGCACTGCATATGTTGCTACAGCAGCCATTGTCTCGCCTATGGGATCCACCACTTGCGGAAGATAATTTTGTTAAGTTAGTTAAATATAGAGCATTTAGAACAATTGCTTATAAATACATGAAATTCTTTCATATATTTCATTATTTTCCAGTATGGTAGCTGAGCCTTGTTATAAAGCATTGGAAGAGCAAATTATTAAAACAAAGTCTGTAAGGGAAACAGTGTTCCAAGTTCTAGGTGTGTTAGTAAAAAAATATAACCATGGTACATCATGCCTCATTAAATTAGTTCAGGTATGGAAAAAATTTATAAAATTTTAATATTTATATCAGAGAGTAGTTGAGTTCTTGTAATTTTAATGTGTGAAACATACTATTGTAATATTAAAATGTAAATATTTTTACTATTATTTTAAAAGTCATGAAGCGTAGCAATAATTTTTTTTGAGATTTTTTTTTAGATTGAGGGACACATTGACACATCTTCATCATCATCATTTTTTAAATATAATTTTATTAGATAATAAACCGTCAATTACTGCATATGAGCCTTTCCCATAATATGGAAAATATGGCACATACTCCTTTATACACTAAAAGTAGCTGTGTATCCATTACACTTTATACATAATCCACTAAGCATTATTGTAAAAAAAGTAAAAAGTAAAGTTACAGCCTATATACGTCCCACTGCTGGGCCCAGGCCTCTGCTCATTCCTGAGAGGGTTTTAGGACAAGGAATTGTCCGGCGCGCTGCCCCAATGCGTGTTCGCGAACTTCACATGTCTTCAAAATATTTTTTTTCTTATTTCTCTGACACGCAGGTGTCCTTACGATGTTTTCCTTCACCGCCGAGCATGTGGTAAATCAGCACTTAAAATTAAAATAACAATTTCATTGGTGCCGGCGGGGATCGAACACGGTTTGCTCGCATACTGTGAAATTTACAGTGAGCGCTAACGATCTGAGCTACCATGGCTTTATATACAATTAATATATTAATATATAAATTAATATACAAGCATTATTGTCTTAAGTGTATTTTAAGAGTCAATTAAAATTCACTTGAGACACTACAAATTAGTTATTTTGGCTTGCATCAACATATTTGTGTAAAAAGTAAAATGAGGTTTGTGTAACTTAGTAAAAAATATTGCACATAATATGCATGTATATTAATGCATTCTTACATTAAATTAAAAAAATTCTAGAAGAATAATGTGGTTATTAGATAGTAGATACCATACGATATAAATATTTTAAATATGTATAATTTCTATTAGGTTTTGCAAATGGCAGAACATGCTGTGTTACCCATCTGTGGAGGTGTGGTGCAGCTAACTAAAGAATTTGGACTTGGTACCTTTGGACCGCAAATGGTAATTTAAAAAAAACGATGATTATACCTTTTACATGTTTGTGATTTATTTGTGTGTGTTTACTGAACTCTTGGTACTAATGAAATCATGGTGTGAATCCCAGGTATATTCACTGTAATTTGTAATGTGTTTGACTGTGTGTGGTTATAATACATCCAGAGTCTTATATTGGATTAAGACCGAGAGTACATATCTCACATTGATAATACTTACCACTGATGTCCCTTTTTGGCCACTACTAGCAGTTGTAAAGTAGCAGTCAGCAAGAACAGTATTATTCAAACAGTTATCTGCTTATCATATCATATTAATGGAATAGTAACCATGTGGTGTAGTGTTACTGTTTCAACATTGTCAGAGTTGAAATATCAAAAACCAGATACATGAAAAGATATCTATAGCCGTGTATCCACCTAGCGCACAGGCTCGCGCGGCAGCCTCGCAGCCCAATGCCTTGGTAATGTGCACGTGCCTTGGGCTGCCTCGGGCGCATGTTGCCTCAGCCAAGCGGAAAAAACTGCTGAGCTGCACACACCTCTATATTTTTCATCCTTCTATAAGGCCTTATTGCCTAGTTGGTTTCATGTATGTTATCAGACTGATTGGAAACTAGAAACATGGTTTTCCTCCAGGTTCTTAAGTTTATTTTAACTTAGATTTATTGGCCATGGCTTATTTTATAAACATTGCATTTTGCCCTACTAGCCGTATGAAAAACTCTTTTTAAAATAAAATACTGGTTCAACATCCTGCAAACAAATGAGTAAGAATGGCAATCTATCAACTTTATTAATGTCCTTGTGGTAGCGGATTTGACAAGTTTGGCTTCCATGTAAGGTTTCAGACTTTCATTTAAGAAAAGTATAGGTAGGTTATCCCGTCACAGTTCTCTGAACAATGTTAATCGAAGGGCTCTTGTAATCTATAAATGCCTCCTCCATTTTAGAATCTTGTCTAAAGATAGCAACAAGGGAACTGACGATATGACTGGTCCCTTAGGAGAGAGCCAAAATTCTAGGGACACTAAGTGCATAGAGAGTCTGGTGACATTTCATCTCAGAGGTACCTCGCTTAGAGCTAGGGATTTTTACATACAACCACACTTCAGCTGCACCTATTATGGTTTCAGTAAGTATAGGTCGGCTCAATTGGGGGAAGACTGTGCTCTCACAATATGAACATAAAACAGCAGCTTAAAGCTGATTTTTCTTATGGCAAGTGTAGAGAACCTGAGACTCTTTTTACTGGAAATAAGGCATTCCATCATAGTTCTCAGAGGTGCATGCATCTGTATTTTGATTTTAGATATCTATAGACCTCAGTATCTACTTACCATCAGGTGGACTGTGTGCTTTTTGACACCCTTAAAAAAAGTCCTCTTAAATGGTCTGTGAAGTCCACATGCAGTTAGGTTCCTAGAGGATCTGTATTCGCAACTTTTCTTCGCCGCTGTCGCCCAATGTCAGTCGCAGGTGACGCAGTTGTTCTTTTTTCGCTCACGGGCTAAGTATAGCTATTCAGGGTGAAAACACTGCCAGTGTTCTTTGCACCATATGATGGGAGTAGGACGGTATGATAGTTTTAGTTTTTTTTTAAATTATTATTGTATAAAATATATTTTATTTTTTACTACTTTCTTTTCTACCATTGATCAGAGAGTGTAACATTTCCATGTCGTTGCTTGTCACTTACATTATTGAAGAATTACAATCATCCTACTTACAATATCTTCTTTATTTTAACAGGTTCGAGAAATAGCTGAAGCATTGGCTTCAACAGACGACGAAGCCGCCGGTGCTGGCACTGAACAAGGTGCTGCAAGAAACTGTGGGGCATTTTTATTGGAATTAACCAAGGAGTTGCCCAAGGAAATGACCAACGCCATTGCTACCCTGCAACCATACTTGGAGAGTGATGAGGTAGACACTATCCTACCATTTACCGTCACTTCTGTTATCTCTTATCTCCTATTTCCGACACATAAATATCTGCTATATTAAAATTAATAACAATTTAACAATTTGTTCAACTGTAATTTGACTTTCTGCTTAAAATTTTAAGGATAATAAAATTTTTATTTTTATTATTTTAGCTATGATGATGAGCTAAATAACTATGTGTTACTATAATTTAAAACTGTTTATTATTGACTTACATATTATATGTTTTGAAATTATGTTTATATTTCATATTTAAAAAAAAAAGTCATCATTTGACATCACATGTTTTTTGTTATGCACAGAGTTACACACTGCGAATAAGCGTGTTGGGTATGATGTGCGAGGTGCTGAGTGTGGAGCTACGTGGAGAGGGACTATCTGACGAGCAACGTGCGCAACGTGACGATTTTCTTGATGACCTATATGAACATATGCATGACTTATCAGCATATGTGCGTCATAAGGTAATAAACTACAATTTAATATTATACATAAAACTGTTTTCCCTATGTATTTTTAACGTGTGACGATACCAGCGTCGCAGCTCCGTCAGTAGCATCACCGTAAGCCACGACATATGTAAGCGCAATAAAAAGAAACGCCGGTGCCGGTTCTGTCCTTGTATGTTTAGAATTTTGTCAGTTTCCGGCTGCTGTGTGAGTGGTTGTTTTCTTTGTCGTGTTTAATACCTGCTGTTGTATTCTGAGAAATGATGTACACTAAGCAAGAGTGTTTATACTAGCCTTTTCCGCATGATTTCATTCGCATAGAATTTTGAAGTGAAAACTTCTTTAGCATTGTTGCGATTTGAAAGTTTATGAAACGGAAAAGCGACAGTAAAAAGAGACAGACACATAAATTCATAAGATTTAACGCGGGAGAAAGTGAGATAGGAAGCATTATAGCTCAATGCTCGCGAGAAAATAGTCGTACACGTAGCCGAAACGGCGTTGCTTACGCGTTTTGTTCAACAAGGTACGAAGGTGTTGTGTGCCTATGGAATAAACAAACAGTGAAGAACGGCCAAACCTCAACTTCGTCATAGCTAAAATTGATATAAATCTAATGATTTCTTATATTTACGCGAACACTACACATTAAAATAATACTAGTTTTTACGGAATTTATCGCGTATATTTAACTTTTTAAATACCCGACGTTTCGAGAGCTTTACAGCACCCATGATCACGGGAAGGACTGAGATGTTCAACGTCCAGATGTCATAGTTAACCGCGGTTACCATAGATTAAAATTTTACTTTTGTTCCGATTTACATTGTATGAACTTATGGTATCATGAAGTTTTGCAGTTGTATCCTTAGGTTGGGATTTAATTTTATTTATTATAGGATCCCAAGCAGATGGTAGCACCCAGCCATCTTCTCTATTGAAATTAGGATGTTTTTTGACGAACATATAGCTGATGTGAAGAATCGACGCTCCGGGAAGTCTGCAGTCTGTGAACACGTACAGGATCGCCCCCGTCACTAAATTAGATTTGGTGGACCACAAATCCTCGCTAAAGAACACCGATTCCTTCCAAGGATGATTCGCGAGGCTATTGAAATCAAAAAACATCCTAATTTCAATAGAAAAGATGGCTGGGTGTTACCATCTGCTTGGGATCCTATAATAAATAAAATTAAATCCCAACCCAAGCTTCCAGCCAATCTTTTTGATATAAGTAAGGTATATCAAAAGGAGTATAAACATTCGAAGGGAAATTAATTTATTTAATCTTTATTGTTTTACATTTAATCTAAGGGTTACAATGGGCGGACTTAATGCCTTATGGCATACTCTACCGGTTAACCCTGGGAGAATTAGACATGTAATAGTATGTATGTAATAGTTGGTAGGTGCTAAAAATATTAAAATGAATAGACATATATTGTAAATAAATAAACATGCATACATAATAATATACATATAGAAAATAAAATAATAAATAAATTATGAATATAGGTATATTAACACAAATATAAAAACACGTAGACGCGGCTCAGAAGGGAAATCGGTCTGTAGTTATTCAAGAAAGTGTTGTTGCCATTCTTGAAGAATAAGACCTATGCACTTCTGCTCCATGCTTGTAGTGCCACCATGGAGGACGGAATTGAAGAGCTTCTGAAGGACTTTAAGTACTGGTTTTCCACCTGCTTTCAGAAGCTCTTCTTTAATTTCGTCCTCGCCTGAGGCCTTGCCGTTTTTAAGGTGTTGGAGAGCCATTCTAATCTCGCTCAGACTGACGTCCGGGATATCATCGGAATAGTACGAAATATATGGCACCAGTTCTTCAATATTATGTACATATTTAAAATTAAACTAAGTAACGTAGATATGCACTAAGAAAATATGACGAATAATCTATTGGCTTTCGATTTAAGCCGGTATAATTATATCGGTTATGTCAAAGCCGGACATATATCCAAATTGCTTTCGAGCAGTGAACATCAAATTCATTTTTTGATTTATCACTTCGCGGTAAAAAAAACCTTGCAAGCAATCCTAAATTTAAAATTGAAAGTAGACAAATGAGTTCGTTACAGCACTGTTTTTCACTGTTCCATAAAAAAAACTCAAGAAATATATAGATTCCTGTGCCCATTGGTTTATAAAGACTGTTAAGTTAATTTTTTTATTGAAGATAAATCGACTCTCAAATAAGCATCTTAGTACGTCGCTCCGCTGATATCAACATTGTTAGGTAGCATTTAGCAGTACTAGCTCTTATGCCACAGTAGTATTTTGCTGGACTCAATGAACTGCTCATAGTAGAAATGTAACTAAAGGAATAACAACTAAAGGCGGTTGGTGTATTCCAAAAATACATCCCAGAAAGTTCCTTTTAGCGGTATACACTTGTTGTTTGTGTTTTGAAAGCAATTGAATGCCACAAAAGTGATACCCCCCTATTCGAGGGCTGTCTACAGCGAGAGATTCGCACGCTAAATCATAACTTCTATTTCGGATTGGCTTGACTGGCTCTAAGCACTGAACTGTGCTGTGGTCTGCATACCCATTGATTCCAGTTATAAACAAGCTCTTTGGCACGAAACCATTAACCTGTACTGCTTTTTACAAGACTTGGCGGCTTGGTTAAAGGCTCTCTCTTTATGTCTTATATCCGGAGCTTTTCTGTCACAAGCATCAATTCAGGATAAATATACCATATGTTTCCACTTTTTAGCTTAGGCGCATTCGGCGTTGAGTTATGGGTGAAGCTTTACCACTAGGTAGGTCAGCAAAGGGGATGGAATACTCCATCGCTTGATGTATAATTTTGGTAATAGGCTGACGGATCTTCAGACGAGAAGCTGACCTACCGCCAAGGGTAAGATGTAAAGAAATGCCGCAATACGTGGTAGAGCTCGCTGCGGCTATGACTGTTTGTTGCACGAATGAGTCGGCTCGACTGAAGTAAGGCCACGTTTTCACAGATAACTAGCGTAAAATAGCAGCTTAATGCTGCTTTGTGCGTTTTTCGCATGGTGAGAGTAGAGAACCGGAGACTTTTTACTGAAAACGAGGCATTCCATTTTAGTCTTTAAGAGTGACAATGCATCTGCATTTTCATTCTTGATTGAGGATAAATAAGCATGTCTGTGGGCCACAGTATCCACTTATCATGAAGTGGTGCTTGTTTGTCAATTTTCCATATTTTATAAAAAAAAATCATCCCAAATGTGGAAAACCACACACCTCGAAAATCGTATTTAGGTAGCCAATATGACAACACAGATTTTACCAGTTAGAGGTAAGGAGTTCCCAAAGGTGAAGTATCTGAACATCATACCTGTTCTGATCGGTGGTCAGTAGAAGGTCAAATGAGTTGGCTGTAGGTTATTTTTTAGGTTATTGTGTAAAATTATTTAAAAACGTTTGGGATACTACCCAACCCAACCCAACAAGTTATGCATACACATAACTATGTTCTGGTTGTGCCAGGACTTGGTGCTGAAGTATTCCATCTTAGAGGTGACCACATTTCTGTAGCATTCATTATTTGAAGTTGGTTGCGGTAGTGGTGCTGCAGTCGCCACTTAGCATTTGGTGGACTGTAAGCTTATAGCTTAGAGCGAGCAAAAATATCGAGCGCCATAATATATCTTATTAATACTATAATATTTCCCATAGAATACTATAATACATACATAATAGAACAGGGGAGTTGTCAGAGCTCGCTTAGCCACTAAAATCTCACTAACACGTCAATTCACATGTATAAATGTCAACACGAGATGTGTTTTGTCTTTACAATCGTTTCCAAATTTCGCATGCAAATTATTTAGAAAATGCCAAATTGAAAACTTTACAAATAAATATATATTAAAATTGAAACGCCTTTTTTAATGATGATCTTGAACATTAATCAAAAGTCTAAAATGTGTAAATTTACTCACTCTGTCAACACAGCGACAGTCGCGTTGTCGCGACGTCGGGTTTGGCGACGCCAAGTCTCGTACAAAATAAAGTTGACAGCTATTCTATTGTGTTATATAGTATTCTATGATATTTCCTATGCAGTTGATGGTTTTGGATGGTTTGGTTCAGTATTTTGAATCTGAAACATCTGACTAAAATCTGTCTTACTATCTCAATGATGTTTTTTTAATACATGCTAGGTACTACAATTCTGGTCGCGATTACAAAGGGAGAACAGCGTGCCTGTCAGTAGACAACATTCAGTATTGGAAAGGGCCATTGGCCGTTTAAAAGACAAAGCGGCGTTAGTAAGGAAAGCAGCCATACAGCTAATCAAGGTACAGTCATCTTGTTTTTTAGTTTAAACTAATTTACGCCCATAGAATACTATAATACATACATAATAGAACGGGGGAGTGGGCTCCATGTCAACACGAGATGTGTTTTGACGTAACAATCGTTTCCAAATTTCGCGTTTTATTTAGAAAATACCAAATTGCACACTATTTACATATAAATATGTATTAAAATCTCAACTAATTTTTTAATGATGATTTTGAACATTAATCAAAAGTCTAAAATGTGTAAATTTACTCAGTCTGTCAAGACGCGAATCGGGTTTGTAGTAGTGATAATACGATGTAATTGCTTGTATGTTTGCTCCCGGCGACGCCGAATCTCGTACAAAATAAGTTTGACAGCCATTCTATTGTGTATTATAGTATTCTATGTTTACTCCCGAATAGAAATATATGTGATAAAATACAGTATGCAGTCAATATTTTTTATCATACTCACCGAGTGTCAAAAAGTAACAGAATTTTTCCAACGCAATACCCTTAATTAACCCCTGAGAACAAACTTATGCGATGATTAAAACTACTTTTACGGTTTTATCGCGTTTTATTTATATTAATTTTAATACCCGACGTTTCGGGTGCTTTCCAGCACCCATGGTCACGGGGGACTGGAAAGCACCCGAAACGTCGGGTATTAAAATTAATATAAATAAAACGCGATAAAATCCGTAAAAGTAGTTTTAATCAATGTATAGTGTTCGCGTAAATATAAGAAATCATTATGTAAACTTATGCGATATCCGCGTTTAATCTCTATATATTATATAAAAACCAATTGCTGTCCGTCAGTCTCAGTAAAACTCAAAAACGGCTCGATCTATTTTGATGAATTTTTTGTGTTGGTTTGAATGGGTCCCTAGATGGTTTAGATTTATATTTGCATCCGGTAGGTGGCGCTGTTGTCTAGATTTAGAAATCACCAGTGTGAAGCCGGCGTAGATTGCTAGTTTCATTATAATTTACGATTTTTTAAATTATAATAAAACTAATTTTATTAAAATTAAACTCGATAAAATCCGCTTTTACATTTGGTTTTATTGAATTCCTGTACACAAATAGCATCAAAAGAGATAAATCTGTTTTGAGAAAAAAACAAATTAAATAATTATCTACAACGAAATCGTACTAAACCCAACAAACTCTTATAAAATTAGTAAGTGTAACATATTTCGCAGGTATTCTTAGAATGCAACCCATTTTCGGCGCAATTAAAATTGGATATTTTAGAGGAGCAATTGGCATCAGAGCAAAAGATACTAGACGATCTCCAAAAGAAACTCAATCCAGGGCCGGATCCAGAGCTTATTAAAAAATGGGAGAAAATTGAGAAAGATGTAGTAAATATAATTAAGGAGAAGATGGACACGCTTACACAGGACGAACCCGATTTATCGCAGGCGACATTAGAAAATTTATACGACGCAATTCGAAGGAGCTTAAAGGAGAAAGATTATTATAAGGCTTATTTGATTGTAAAGCACACAGAAAGACAATACCCAGATGCAAAGTTATTGAGGTGCGACATGCCTAAAAGTGAACAGGTTGTTATATAATTTATATTACTTTAAAATAATTTAATTTTTTAAACCATTTATTTGGTATTAAAAGCCGATGCGTACATTGTAAGAGGTTCACTTAGCATTAATAAATTTAATAAGAAAATGCTACTTAAATGGGTTTCCATACTTGTTTATTTGTTGCTCACAATGTTAGGTACTATACACAATTCTGAAATAAAATGTGGGTCACATTTGCAAAATGTTGTAGTAAATTTCAACACTGATAATTTTCATTTCCAGATTGACTACTTTGTTGCTTTAATGAGAAACATTTTTATAATACCTGATAGGAGACAATCTATAACAGTGCCACAGGAGTGTGAGAACGAGCTTGCGCTATATAAAAGAGTAGAAGAAAAAGAGAGCATAGTAGCATTTCTCCAAGAATCTGTACATTTTAGCAGAATGATATCTGAAGCTGTGCCTCTAGTAAACTCTTTACTGATGTCGAAACAGGCCGGCGATGTGAGCGAAGCAATCGACTTCTTTACGACAGCTCATCATTTCAATATAGAATCGGCTAAAGTGGGCGTTGCCAATATGCTGCTTCTCGTTTGGTCACCTGACCAAGTAAGTGTCGATCAAATTGATTTTAAGAGAACAATTATATACATTTTTAATAGCTATTACTTTAAGAGATGATTGTGTAATAAATGTTCATTTATTCTTAGTAATACTTAAAGACGATTTTTCAATCGTTGGATAAAATTTATTTCAAATAAATTATAAACTGAATTTTTTTTTATAGGAAAGGTTACAAACGAGCAAACAGTCCACCTGATGGTAAGTGGTTGCTGTGGCCCATAGACATCTACATCTATCCTCGATTACGAATCAAAATGCAAATGCATTGTCACCCGTGAGGAATAAGATGGAAAGCCTCGTTTCCAGTAAAAAGGGTATCCGGTTCTCTACACTCACCATACGAAACACAGCAGCATTAAGCTGGTATTCTGTGAGAACGTGGTCCTTCCCCGGTCGAGCCGACCCATTCGTGCTACAACTATACTACTAATATAACGCAGCATGGCTCTACCATGTAAGAATAAAAGTGAAACAATTGAACTGTTTTCTTAATATAACTGTAATTTTTAATTTGTTTATGTTATACAATACAATATCCTTTATTGTACACTAAGAAAACAACATAACAAGAAACAAACAAAGAGAAAAACAAAAGGCAGTCTTAAAAATAAGTGATAAGTTATAATGGGTAGAGTGCACTATAAATAATATTATAATCTAAGATATATAATTAAATTAATAAACATGCCAAAATGTACTTAATTGACAGACTAGTGATCAAAGCATCAGGAAGAGATGAAAGGAGGGGGCAGAATTTAGAAGGAAAGACAATGTTTCTTAACTTGGTTTTTAAAGAAGTATATTGTTTGAACACGTTTTATAGTTAATATTATATATATATATATATATATATATATATATATATATATATATGTAACGTAATTAACGCACACCCTCAGACACCTCAATTAGTATATTATGTTATAATCATAATACATACACTGAATTTTTAGTTCAACATTTTTATGCACTGATTATTTATCAAATTAGTTATACTAATTCCGGAAGAATGTTGTGGTCACAGTGCAAATCCACGAACGCAAAGACTTTAACGTGCTTGAAATAAAGTTCATTTTTCTTTACAAATAAAACTGCACTCTTAATAGTCTTATAGCCTTAAGTTACGGTCGATTTCAGTTTATTTTGACTGTACAGATTTAGTGTGTATTACTGTAATTTGCGTAGTTTTAATTATTTTTGGGATAAAAAATTACCTATATTAAAAATGATAGGAATCGATTCCGTAAACGATTCTGAACAAACTACTTTCTCAAAGTGCGTTAATTATTATGTTACATGTTTATATACATACTAGCTTGCCAGGCAGACGTTGTTTTGCCCTTTTCGACGACCCTTTGTCATGTCCTATTAAAAATCCTTTCGCAAAGAAAAGTGGGTCACTCATAGGCAAATAAACTATCCTATCTCTCAAGTTGGACCAAATTGCACATGGTGTGCAAATTTGATTTAAATCGGTTAAGTAGTTCAGGAGTCCACCTCGGACAAACAACGTGACACGTAATTTATATATATTAAGATAGATATTTGGGCAATCGACAATAGGCCTGGTTATATTATTGTTAGACATTGTATAACTTGTCTGCAGATAATTATAAATATTAAGATAGTTAATACTTTTACGCAGAATTGAAGAAAACTACCTTAAGTGTCATTTGTCAATTACTTTTTATCCAATCCTGTTTAGTTTTGGTACAAAAAAGGCTGAATGTTGATTCAGCATTTATTTGCTTGCTAATGGGCTAGTGATGATAGTTATCATAAACCACCTTATTTTTTTTAATTCTTGGGGCTCTTATACACATCAAATTATTACTAGTAAATGATATGTACATTAAAATTAAGAACAGATTTCATATAAGAGGATCAGCATTGTAACTTGCAATTAATAAACCAATTTTTTTTAGGAACACCTAAAGGTATCAAGTTGCTTTTTACATCCAATACCTACGACCCTAAATATGTTATAAGATTCCAGCACCCATGCAATAAAAAGATATGGTCTTGAAATTATTAGTTACTTTTTTGTTCATCACTTATTACTCAGTTCACTTATAACCAAAAGTATTCCTTTTTAACTTGTATATTCACTAGTATTTGGGTAAATTTTGTAAGTTAGCTTTGAGGATATTTCAGTTATTATCAACTTTTTTAATATTTCTAACCAAATTAAATGCGTAGTGTACTGTAACGAAAACTTTTAAAAGCTTATTTTTTGTTATCATCATCATCATCGTTACAACTCGTTAAAAGTCCACTGCTAAACGTTGGCCCCCCTAAAGAATGCCTCAAAGCAAGATCCCAAGGCACCTTCATTCATCGACTTCCTGCATCTCTTACCAGGTTGTCACTCAATCTGATGGGTTCCGTCCTCCAATTCACTTAAAGGTGCAAGCCTGCCACTCGAGAATTATTTTTCCTATATTGGTGTCGATTACTCTTGTTCAACTGCGGATATCCTCATTTCGAAGTCTGCCACACAGAGGACTCCTGTTTTTAAAATTTATACGCATACGTTACGATAATTTGTGGCAAAATCTCCCAAATGCTACCCAGCTGAGTTGGATTCCTCGATTCTTCTCTCGATCAATTTGACTTACCTAGTTGAATAATTTGTCCGAGATAACCGATTAACCACTTCGTAAGTAATGTTCCCAGCAACTACTGGCATAGGTGTGATATGTATATTACCTACACAACATGACCTTTGTCTTGTCCATGTTCATCTGAAGAACTATCAATCGATCCCAATGACCACAATTGTTGTGAAACACAATCGTGGTCATTGTCGCATGTGGCTATGCCGTTCTTAAGATTGCTGAAGAGCCGTTGTTTTTGTGGTAATGATGTCTGTTCGAGATTGTTTTTTATGGTAATGATTGATTAAGCATTTTTAATACAATAATGAAATAAAAAATAACCCTTGTTATGTTTGAAATTATTTTACTTCAAGCACATACCATTAATAATTGATAGTTATGTAGTAAGTAAATTTAAAAATGTACTGTCAAATTTGATTACACAAGTAGTTTTCATCTAAATCATCAAATACTGTAGATTATTAAAGTACGATCCTAAAGTATCTTAAAAATTTTTATATCTGTAGAAACACCTGTTTAAGCTTGCTCTTGAAATGTAACCTAGATGTTGACTAGACTTCAAATCCACTGAGTAGTCGAATGATAAATTAGTTTGAAGTTGACCACTCGCATAAATTTGAATGCTATATATTGACGAATGACTGTTATAAAAGTCTTAAAAAAATTTTACTTATAAATATCAGATATTCGACAATAGGCCTGGTCATATTATTGTTAGACATTGTATAACTTGCCTGCAAGGGGCATTAAGAAGCGTAGCATCTGGTATCACCACATTGCGATCACCGGACCTTCTGTGAACGGTGGCGATTACAGCAATTCTTATACTTAGGGTAGATATGTTTTATCAGAAAATACACATCCCTACTACTTGTTTTATAGTTGACCCATGCCCTGCATCTCAAGTTCTCACCAACCCCTCTTATTCCTTCTATTATTAAAGTATTTTTTTTAGGATAGGGTGACAAACGAGCACACAGTCCACCTATGGTAAGTGGTTGCTGTGGCCCTACATCTACATCTATCTTCGATTACGAATCAAAATGCAGATGCGTTGTCACCCGTGAGGACTAAGATGGAATGCCTCGTTTCCAGTAAAAAGGGTCTCTACATTAACCTTTTTCCTAGCCTTTTTGACTCATATACTTACTCTGCTTTCCTGTCCCATTCCTCTTCCGTAATTGATGTAAATGCAACCATTGATCAGCAAGATAACCTGAGTAAATCAGCACCTCCTATTCCAAGCATAGTGATTACAGGAAAGTTCCTCTTTACGGTTAGGCTGAATATGTTAGGACTGTTTTATTTTAAAACAAAAGTAAAAAAGGCTGTGGACTTATGTACTCTTTCTATTAAATTTTTATTTTATTTTATGGAATGTAATGAGTCCTGGTAGCTCAGAAATAGCTAAGTTCTTGTCTTAAACTTACAGCATGCGAGCAATCCGCTTTGATCCTCGTCGATACTAATGAAATTCTTAATTGAAATTTTAAGTGCTGATTTACCATGTGCTCGGTAGTAATTGAAAACTTGGCAATGAAGAAAACTGCATATATGAGGATTAAAATATTACGTGGGCATCTAATGTCCACCGACACGCTCTGGAGTGTCGTGGGAATGAGAGAACCTGTGACCAGCAGTGGGTCGTCTATAGTTTGTAACTTTACTTTTCAACTTTAATAGGATAAACGTGAAGCAGTAGAACGGGCTTACAGAGAAATGTATTTGGATTGTGACAACAAAGCGGAACGTGGCAGAGCTTTCACGATCGCTAAGAACCTGGTCAACCTCATGACCCACGTGGACCGCGGGAGTGCACTAGCGCTCGAACATCTGGTGGAGAAATGGGTTAACAAAGGAGATATAACACCTTCTATTATACAGGTAATATTTTATGTTTCACATTTATGATTTAGTTGAGTAATTTTTAAAAGAATATTAACAATGCTATAAAACCACTCGTGGTAAGCTTAAATTGCTTGTGTTACGAGTGGTTCACGCCAGTAGTCGAATGGCAGATTCGAATTTCGAACCCACAACCTTTTTGAGTTCACGGTCCGCGCCCTGCCATTAGGCTACTGTCGCTTCTACTGTCGCTAATTGAGAAGGCCACATGACCTACGAGCTTATATAATGCATAAACGAGTCGTTCAGATAAACGGCTCACTTAAGTTGAATAAAAATATTTTATACACTTTCGCATAGCGTTTCTTTTTTCATTGCCCAATATCGACAAGGATATAATATCGTCACCGGTATTCCAGTTGCGGTACCTACACACAAGCCCGGCTTGGCGCTTGCCCTACTAAAATACTGAAAAGCTAGTAAAAACTTGAAAGATACAAAAGAGAAATTTTAATTTACGCGCCCTAATCTTGAGAAAAAAAGATTGATTTCATGCACAAAGTTTAAAAAAAAAACATGATCTCGCTCACATACATGGCTTGCAATGAGGCTTCAACTGGGCGTATGTGAAGTGAATTTTGCTATATTTAAGCGAAATTCCAGTAGCTTAATCAGTTTAAATTTTACATACCATATATTACAATTATTTATGATTGTTTAATGTGGATACATCTTGATCGATAAGACAAAATTATAATTTTGCAATGAAAATTTTTCTCCAATTTATCGCGTTAACGTGTAAGATTTTGCTTTGTTTGGACTTCCTATATTATAATTAATTAATTTTAAATCTTTCTGTGTAATATTTTTCAACGTATACAGGGTTATTTTTCAAAGAGTAGCCAAATTTTAAACTTAAAAATGTTTGTGAATTTCCATATATAAAGCGATAACGCCCCCCTCAGTAACACAGACTAATTTTCATCGTTTTGAAAATATTGTGATTAAATGAAAAACTAAGTTCGAACGTTTTTATTTTAAAGAAACGTGGCGTATAAGTATAAGTTATTAGCATCGAAATATCTGTATTTTTGATTTAGAAACTTCCTCAAACGTTTTTATTTTTTTAAATTAAATTTATACGTGGTAGAGCCATGCTGCAGTTATATTAGTAGTATAGTTGTAGCACGAATGGGTCGGCTCGACCGGGGAAGGACCACGCTCTCACAGAATACCAGCGTGAAATAGTAGCTTAATGCTGCTGTATTTCGTATGGTGAGTGTAGAGAACCGGAGACCCTTTTTACTGGAAACGAGGCATTCCATCTTAGTCCTCACGGGTGACAACGCATCTGCATTTTGATTCGTAATCGAGGATAGATGTAGATGTCTATGGGCCACAGTAACCACTTACCATCAGGTGGACTATATGCTCGTTTGTCACCCTATCCTATAAAAAAATATATACTGAATTACTAAAAAAGAAAAACGTACAGACCCAGTTTAAGGTGTACTGAATCTAATGAGTCCAAAATTGTTTCATGGCGTAAGGGTTCATGGGGATAAAAACGTAACCGCCCGAAATAATATTTCAAAAAGGAATTCAAAAAGAAATTCAAAATGTAATTTGAAGAATAACCCAGCAACATGCGAGTGTAAAAAACAAGTATCCTAGAGCCACAAGTACTAAGAAATATTGAACTAAAAAAAATCGATTTTTATCTAAGCAAATACTATGTCTAGCACGCCAAAGTCGTCTACGTTTGACCGCTAGTGTTGTAATGCGTTAGGCATAGATTTATTGAAAACTATTCAAAATTAAACGCTAACGTGTCATTATTTTAAAATATTATTGATATTTGGATTAAACAAAAGGTAAGAAGCATAAAACTATCATCAACTACATAAATAAAAGAAAATTTCATCAAATCAACTTCGCATAATAAATATAATATCGCAACTCTGGCGCATCCTTAGTACGTCATCGATTATCAGTTCATTGGGCGCCGTGGTCAAGGATTGACGACACCCTGATAACGTCATAAACGAATAGCGGGAAAAGTAGTGCAGTGCAACATGAACGATTCCTCAGAATTCATTCGCATTTTGGAAAGCGTCGATGATAATGAATTTTTTAAGCTATTGCATAGCTTTTATCGCGGGCTTTGAGCGCGGCGACCGAACCCAGAAATTCCGAATCGAAAAAAATGACCCGAAAACCTAACATCGTCTAACATCGATTAAGTTCAGCAGACTTCGGCACGGTGTTTGTGTGCGTGCTACTAGACGTATGCGTGTAGACTAGTTGCATGTATTGTAAGATAATAAAAATATTTTAAACAATAATATAGTTTATTGCAAGAAGCATATTCTTTGGATTTATATGAGTCGTTGTCATGCTAGCAACTTTCGTGAATTTAGAGTATTTAATAAACACAAACTTTATAGAAATTATCGTTTGTCGGAAGAAATCGTTACTTTTTTTATAGAAAAGGGGGCAAACGAGCATGCGGCTCACCTGATGTTAAGTGACTACCGCCGCCCATGATCAACCGCAACACCAGGGGAATTGCAGGTGCGTTGCCAGCCCTTTAGAAAGGAGTAAGCTCTTTTCTTGAAGGTCCCCAGGTCGTATCGGTCCGGAAAAATCGCCGGTGGTAAACTATTCCACAGAGAGGTTGTACGCGGAAGAAAACTCCCTTTGAAACGTACAGTGGTGGACCGCCAAGCATCCAGATGGTGTGGATGGTATCGGGAAGTTTGCCGCGTAGTGCGTTCACGAAATTTGGCGGCTGGGATTAATCCGAACAATTCCTCAGAGCACTCTCCATGCTATATGCGAAAGAAAATGCAAAGAGGTGCAACATCTCTTCGCAGCGCTAGTGAATCGAGCCGATCGGAAAGCACTCGGTCGTCGATTATTCGAGCCGCTCTGTGCTGGATGCGGTCAAGTGGAAGGAGTTAGTACTGGGGACCCCCAGCTCAGAGATGGGAACAGTATTCCGTGTGCGGCCGAACCTGCGCCTTGTAAAGTCGCAGGCGGTGTGCCGGCATGAAATACTGCTGAGCACGCCAAGCTTTTTAGAGGCCAATTTGGCCTTCTCTTCCAAGTGACCACGATACTGCACGTTACTCGATATGTCGACGCCGAGGATTCCGATACTGGCTGAGGCAACAAGGGGAGTGCCTGAAACTGAGGAGATACAACAAAGGGGTTCTTTTTAGCGGTTAACGCGCAAACTTGTGTCTTCTGTAAGTTAAACTGGACTAGATTTAGTCGCCCCCAATCCGAGACTCTGTTCAGCAAAGACTCGACTTCAGACACAAGTTTGTCCCGGCATTCGGAGACGTTTTCCCGAGAAATATTGGCTCGGCCGGTGTAAAGAGCATCACTAGTGCTGTCATCTGCATAGCAATGAATGTTACGGGTTTGCAACATATCATTGATATGCAGAAGAAACAGCGTTGGCGATAGCACGCAGCCTTGTGGAACACCGGCATTAATAGGCTTGAAGTGAACTGACGGATTATTTTACACCGCCACGTTTATTTAAACGACACTGTACCGATATCATGGCGATAAAACAAAACGTTCGTGCCCCATTGACAAACTATCTAGATCACAGTGCATTTATTATTCCATTATTTTAATATGGCAGACAACAATTTATATTTGTTACCTATATCTGCTTTTACGTCATAAGAAAAAAAATTGTTAAATAGTTTTAATTACATGATCATATATTAAACTTATCATATATATATATATATATATTAAACTTACCAGCTGAAGCTTTATTAGAAATGTCAATATTTAATATAAATTACAGAATAACAATGTATTTTAATTGTTTCTTTAAGGTGTTCTGGGAAATGTTCTTAAAAAAGATTGATGGCACTACCGACTTGGACAGTTATGCGGCGCTTTCCTTCCTCGTAATGATAGCAAAAGCCAAGCCTTCAGTAGCGCTTGCCAACCTCGAAGTCATCCAAAATCACGGACTCACAGGCGATTATAATTCCAGAAACCTAAGCGCACAGTTGCTACTTTCTCTATCGAAGAAAAATCAAAGATACCCGGCTGATCACGCCTTATTCACCTCTGTTTATGACAGCCTGATGGAAACATTTAATAAACACAAGAACTTCACGTCCTTTGCAGCGAATACTATTGATCTTATTTATGCAATTTGCGATACGCCCGACGTGCTCTGTACGAAAATGTTGGCTGACATGTATAACAGAGTAGGGGAATTTATGGTAAAGGAAAAAGATAACGAGGAAGAAGCCAGCATACCAACTGAACTGCTCACCCGATTTGTGTTCGTTTTGGGACAAATAGCTCTGCAACAGCTTATTTACCTCGACATTAGCGTGTATAGTGAGCTAAGAAGACGCAATCAGGTAAAAATTAAAAGTGATTTTTCTCTCTTAAAGTCAATTATTGCTTGCATGTCGTAAAAATAGACTAATGTACAGTATAATTCAAGAAAATTCTCGTTAGTCAACATGCATCATACTTATGGCCACCAGGTTTTTATCTAGCCCAGTAAAGACTGCACAGAAATCAAATTCCTATAAAATAGAATTGAATTTTAGTCTAGTAAATCAAATTCAGAATAATTAACTAGAATTTAAATGCTCTATTTTTTCTAATACATACTATTTCTGTGTCTCGTCTTTTTTTAGTTCTTTTTTCAATAGGGTTCGATATGATGCGGATTTCAGGATAAAAATTGTATTTACAATCACTAACTACTGACCGTGGTGAACTTGCACTAACGATTTTTTTAATTTGCTATAACTTACGATATAGCCATATTTTTTGCGAATATATAATTTTTTCTGTAAGAGACGTGTACACTTGATAACGGTGACATGATTGGCAATCAGCTACAATCGCTCTGAGACGGGGGTTATATCTAATCCCTTAATTATTTATTTATGTAAAACTGCAAAATCTCCCAATAATATGGAGAAGTAAAATTTCAGTCATTAAAATTATCTATTAATTGTTATTCTACAATATATTTTATGTTTTATAGGTACGGGAAGAAAGGAAAGCAGAAGAGAAACGTAAGAAAAAAGCGGGAGCGTTCGCAACGCCTGCCCGACGCGGACGCGTGGACAACCTTCGACGTCAGACGCTCATGAACGTGAGCAACGCCAGCGCTTCCTCGCGCGGACAACGCTCAGCCAGTGTCGCTTCCAAACAGGGTACTTCTGTAAGTAATTCCGATGCGTATCATAAGCTTCTACTACTGTTTTTTTTTATTTTATTAGGTTTAAAGAACTTTATTTCTCATTAAGACAATTGTCACTTACATGAGAACAATAACATCTATATTATAATTCTAGTGCGTGTGGGTAGTAAAAAAAATTACATCGGTCGATCGTTAACCAAGAAGCGAGTTCATTGTGTTCCTATCAACTATAAGTCGGTGGTCCAAGTATAATTTTAATGCATAATTTCATCATTATAAATATATTCAAATAATCTTCTTTTAAAAATATTGATTGAAGTCGCTTCTTTCACTTTATTTGTTATATATTTGTTTTACTTTTTGTTGTGAATGTTATGTGTGAGTGAATAAGCTTGTGAGTTATCTTGTTGATTAGTTACAGAAACAGAAACTTTTTTATTCAATGTAGATTATAAACAATACTTATTGAAAGTAAATTTTTTCATTTACCACAAAAAACAACCTCTGTCCTGGGAAGAACCAGCAAGAAACTCAGCGGGACTATTTTTTTTTTTTTCAAATAATAGCTTACAATCATGTTTACAATTAACAACACAAGACAAATAAGAAATAGCTTGGTAGCGATCACCCTTCCCAGGGGTTATTATCATCCATAAATTCCTTAAGGTGGATGCGTCGACCGTCCGCCCATACATTTTTTAACCAAAATATACACTAAACACAGACACTCTTTCTTTAAAACTGATCATTTTATCACTTCTCTACAATGAAATGTGTACGCGTTTGACCTTTATAGGCAATAACTTACATTATATACTGAGAAAAACAATAGTGAAATCCCGGAAAAATTTGACACTTCTTTAGTAGTGTGCGTGATTTTTGACAAGCAAACGAAAGGCGACGTTTAAACATTGGCACGCTAGATGGCATCCAAGTGATCTTAAATAGTTCTGATAAATCAATATCTTAAGTTCAATAATAGGTTAATTTCCTTTCCAACCGTTAAAAAAAATAGTATAAAATAACATAAATCTAATGACCTTAGACACCTATGTTTTTTGTAAACAATTTTATTACTTATTATTGTTGGGCAACATAAATACCAAAAGTCGTAGGTAAAGCGACGTTGCCGTCCTTCCTGACAACAAACTGATAAGAGTACTAACGTATTCCTGACCTTGAATTGACGAAACAAAAGCGTTGTCAAACTTCGTTCACTTGTTTGACTTGTTATAAAATATATTCTGACTTCGGTTGTCACGCGCTATGATTTGCGCGCGGAATTTCTTGTGAATTATACATATTTTGTATGTATGTTTTCATTGATTCGAATTGCAATATTTCTCTTGTATATATTTAAGACTATATTGTAATTTATCGTAGGTATAGTAATTAATTATTCTAAAAACGCAATTATGTTTTAGGTAGTATTATTAACAGCAGGCTGGCCAGTGATTTTTCTGAAATATCGTCACAATACTGATTACCTACGTCATACGTGTCAGTGTTTCATATATGAATGTGTTTGAATATGTTTTTAGTCAACAATAAATACAATTATTATAAATCGGTAAACTACCAAAGTAGTCACAAAATTAAACTAAACTAAAACTAAATTAAACATTTGCTTAATATGGTTTTTCCGGGTTACATTAAACAACCTTTACGCATTTTGCAAACAGTTTCAGACAGACACACATTATTAGTTTGTTATATTTTGTAGAGCTCAAGTTCACGGTTATGGTATGTTTAGAAACAAATATAATTCAGTTGCATAAAATCCTTTTTTCTGTTCCGTGCTTTATTGTTTATAAATAAATAGCTTACTCTAATCTGAGTTATATTTTTCTTATTCGTCGGCCAATTCTACCAGGAATATAAAGATATCATCCAAATAAAAAGATAAGTAAATTTTTGTACATTTTAGTGTTCTCCTAGATCTTGTGTTCCGAACGTAACCCAATTCATATAGAGTTGAAGGAAGATTTGTATATATACGAGTATTGTATAGTACCTGGATGACCGAGCATTGCTCGGTATTTTTTTTTTTGAAATCGTGTGTTTTGGAAGCTTTATTTGGTATACTGATAAAATATGAAGAATATTTTTTGATCTTACCGACATAATAGAAAAAACTGAACTGGTTATTGAAATGAAAAATCATGGGTGCAATAAAATTTTCGTATTTTTAAAAAAATACTAAAAAAAGGGCTCGCAATAATAGATTTTCTCACAAAAGGGAACTTTAAAAAAAAGGGAAAAGAGTCAACAAGACGCGAACCAGGGCATTACGATTTCGCGACAGTGCGTTATCCACTTAAGCTATTACGATCATTATAATTGTGTTAAAATTTACCTTCTTATATTGTAGCAGTTTTTCACTGCCTGAAAACACGGACAAAACGACATTTTCTAAAAATGAATCCCAGCTAGATCGATTTATTGCCCCCAAAAACCCCTGGACACTAAATTTTATGAAAATCGTTGGAGCCGCTTCCGAGATTCCGATTATATATATATATATATATATATATATATATATATATATATATATATATATATATATATATATATATACATACATACATACAAACAAGAATTGCTCGTAGGTATAGGATTTATATTTTTGTTTTACTAAAAGCTTTTGTTGAGTGTTTCGAAATTAGGAAATATTATTTTCAAACTTCCTGCTTATTATCACAAAATAAATCGTGTTATAGATTTGTTGTTAGCTCTTGTTTATGAATTATAGTTTCTTACGTGTTGGTTATGAAATGTCTAATTATTGTAATAATTGGTAGTGTTACAAATCACCAGTGTTATTAGTTTTGAGTGAATAGGCATGTATCAGTATAATTATGTTGCTTCAAATAGGTACTTCTGTTTTGATAAAAAATTCAATAGTGTAATCTAATAAAATAAAACTGCGTTATATTGTAATCAATGTTGACATAATTTATTTTCCAAAGTTATAAATCAATTAAATAGTTTACGCACAACAAATATAAATTTTATTTTTATAACAATCGTACATAGCGTTTTGTGGTTCTGCCTACCCAATCTACACATACAGAAAAATTAAAAACTTGTTTTTTTACAAACACGCCATCTATAGTTCGGCCGTTCAGAGAATGCGTTCCTGACACGTCGCGATTGAACTGACGACGTAACTTTGTAATGGCGTTGCAGTTACGATAAAAATATTTTTGCTGGTTGTTTACCGTTTTAACAATTGATGTGCATTAAAACAACATTATTATATCAATAATCAATGAATGTTATAATTTTGTGCCAAACTGAGTGTCAAATAACTTGATAAACAATATTTTTCTAAATCTATACTGCGCTATTACAAGGTTATGTCAGCGCTTTATATTTGTAGTGCTGTGCTAACAATAACAGGTATCGTAATCTGTTCTTATACGGTTATACTCTGTAAAATAATACGTTTTGTTTTTCTTTTTACGAATTTGAAAATAATGGACTATAAGATAACTTTTATTAAATATAAAAATAAAACTACGACCAAACCGTTCGCGCGTTCGGTTTGGTCGTAGTTTTATTTTTATATTTAATAAAAGTTATCTTATATTGAAAGTAGCATTTTTATATTTAGGTTGAAAATGGTAACCCCAAATGGCGTTATGGGCCGCCATTTTGTGACGCTAAAACAGTCGTCTGTTGTCGTTTCGTGCGCATAGACCACGTTCTTCAAGTGTTTTCAATCTGTTTTTATTTGATTACCTGGCTTTCGTTTAATGGACTGTTTCTGCTTTCCAAACTGGCATCGGCGCTAAATCGGACTTCGATTGTGTTTTGTATTGCGTTCTTTTTACTTTTGGTGCATAATAATGCCTAAACGTGGACAAACATTGAAAAGTGGAGCCCGTGAGTTAATCATCAAGTTGCAAGATTACTTTGAGCGGGAGCGGCAAAATGGCGGACCCCTGTTATCTGTCGAACAAGTACAAGAGCGCGTCTCTCAGGCGCTTGGAGTTAGCAAACGAACGATAACAAATATTAATAGAGAAAAGTTCGGCTCTACTGGCACGGAAGATAATATTTTACGTACTCCGAAGAAGAAACGTAGAACTAAACCCGTGACAGATATTGACACCTTTGACGCCGATGCAATCAGAAATCATATATATGGTTACTATTCCAGAAATGAATATCTCAACAGGAAGAAGCTTTTGGCATCGTTAAGATAAGCTGGACTGTTTAGCGGGGGTAAAACTGCTTTAACCAAAATCTTAAAAGATATTGGTTTTTCGTATAAAAAAACAGACAAAAGAAAGATTTTATTAGAACGATACGACATAATTTTAAAACGGATAAATTTTTTGAGAGAAGCAAAAAATATTGATAACTGGGATAATATCGTGTTCATTGACGAGACGTGGCTAAACGCCAATCACACGGTTTCCCGTTTTTGGACGGATAATACACAAGCGTCGACGTCGAAAGTACCAATGGGTAACTGGGCCCGTCTGATAATATGCCACGCAGGTTCTGCAAAATACGGCTTTGTGGAGAACGCGTTACTGGCATTTCAATCAAAAACCACAAATGACTACCACGAGGAAATGAATGAAATGCAAAATGAATGCCACTACATTTAAAGAGTGGTTCCAGAACGTGCTTTTGCCCAGCCTACCAGAGCCTTCTGTAATGTTCATGGATAAAGCCTCCTATCACTCGGTTCAAATACAGAAACCACCTACCCAAGCTAATAAAAAAGAAGAAATGGTGGCTTGGTTACAAGCAAAAGGCATTGACGCAAATATGCAGATGCTAAAACCAGAGCTAATTAAATTAGTTAAAGAAAATAAAGCGGCAAATCATCATCATCATTCATCATCATTACAGCCCTTTACAAGTCCACTGCTGAACATAGGCCTCTCCCAAGGTATGCCACAAAGCACGGTCCTGAGCCACCTGCATCCATCGACTTCCTGCATGTCTTACCAGGTCGTCACTCCATCTAGTGGGGGGTCGCCCTACACTTCTACCGGTACGAG